GATTAGTAGGATGTAAGCACTCCAATTTGTACAAAAATCAACACATTGAATCCCATAATGGCATAAATGTATTCATGATCTATGTACAAATGACTTAATAAAAAATAAATAAATCTAAAAACAGATCTACTGGTACACACATATATAGTCACTCAATTTATAATAAAAATGCTATGATGAAAAAAAAAATAAAATCTGTTCTACAGTCCATCTTCCCTAACACTTTTTTTCTAATTTCCAAAAGCAGTATGACTTAATTTGAAATTCTCAGGTGTGGTAACCCAAACATTTTCTCCTTCACCTTGGATAATGAATCTTTAAATGTGCAGAAGACTCCATGTTCCAAGACATAATGAACCCAAAACTTATTAAAACAGGACCTGTCCTGTTCTCATAAAACTCACCCCAAATTCATCAACTCAATCTGTAAAGTGCCAGTCTAAGAGATTTTCATCAACTAAGTACTTCTTCCACACTTTAATTAAAAATAGAGCTCCTTGAGTTCATAGATATAATGGTAGTACTAAACAAAGTGCCCAGATTGAAGTCTACCTGTGGTATTTTCTTTCCACTACCCTGGTGATGACAGAATGAGCTGTTTGAAAAACAAGCCACAGCTTTCTTGTGACTATTGCTGATTATAAAGGCTATGGAGTTCAGACTAAATGAAAAGCTAACTTCACTTTAGACATACCAAAACAATGGTACCCAAACTTTCAATATTTGTTCCAAGTGTTACACTTGAAAAAAAGCATCATAAGCCTTCAACTTGTCCACATTGGAAATGAGTATTTTTTCCCTGATTGTAGAGGGTGCCAGTGATGCTCACAAGTTGCATCACTGGCAGAAGCATTCAGAGAAGCAGTTAGAATCAGGCCTGAGTTTGTTTTCACTTTGGAATTTACTATTGTGTTTACCACTCTTCCTCACTGACAAGCCCTTCCCTCCACCTCCTTGAGATTTGGCAAGCTTGGCTACCACAACTCAAAATGCCAGGCACAGCACGTTCGCTTCTGTGTAGCAGAACCTGCAGGACATTTTAGTCCCTTCAAACACAGTCCTGTGTGAGAGGTGGAGAAATGAGAAATTCCCTGCCACCAAAGCCCTGCACCACCTTTAGATGCCTCATCTCCTCTCCCTCAATAAGGAGCAGCCCTGGAGCTGAGGGGGAAGTTGCGACACCTGTGCCAGGCCTGTGGCAGGCCGGCCTGCCCCCCCAGCAGGCAGCTGCGTGGGGGGGCCCTGCTTGGCTCAAGTGCTGCTTAGTCAGGCTCTAACACTGAGCCAAGCTGCAGATGTGCCTGGACCTGCCGCCTCCAGGTGTCTGTCTCTGGGCCGGCCGGAGGTGACGGCACATATGTGACTCTTGCCTCCTGGTGTTTCCCAGCACCTCAGAGGAATGTAGAAGACTCAGGAGAGGCCATTACAGGCCCTCAACAAGGCAGAAGCTCTCTGCCCACCCTGCCCCTTTGGGCCTTCCCCAGGCCTCTTGCCATCAGCTCCAGCGCTGGGTCCTCTGGGCCAGTGGTGGGCTCAGGTGGAAGGTGGCTACCCCCTCAGGCAGATTACTTGCCTACCTGCCTCCTATAATTTGATGTTCCCATCATTAGTGTCCAAACCTCCATAGCTAAAAGGTGGTTTTTTTCCTTTGATTACAATGGTTCCCATGATTAAAAATATTCTTTAATTTAAAAATGTTTTCAAGCTTATTAGTATCCATTGGGGAAAAACATCTGATGAGAATTACTTTCCTAAGAAGAAGCTATTCTGTATTTAACAAAATTATTAACAACTGAAGGAGTTTTCTAGCGTGTAAATATTGGAAAGGTTTACTAGCTCACTGTGGACTCTGACTCTAACACAAGGTCGTGTCTAATCTCAGTGTGACTTTTGAGAATTCTGTTTAGAACTCAGGCAGGCTGTGAACTATTCCATCAGGAATGATATTCTCTCTGTAAATATTTATTGCATACCTACTATGGACTATAAGCTCAGGTCTCAAAAGATATCACTATCCAGTGCAAATGAACAGCATGTTGGCCAGATTCAGCTCACATTTTGTTTGATTCACACCATATTTATCAAAAATTTGAATTAGTTGCCAACTTTTAAGCATCAGAGCCTTTCTAGCTTCTCTTGAAAACTCAGGAAATCTGGTAAAACTGAGCCCACATTCCTGGCTGATGACAAAAAGAGAACTATTGCCCACTTCAGACAGGCACTGGCTGTCAGTTCACACATAGTCCCCACCTGGTCTCTCAGCATTGGTCTCTGATTCTGAGGAATCACAGCACACCCACCCTAGGAAAGGCCTCACTGAGAGACAGAGCAACCCAACCCAGCCCTTCATCTCAGAAGAGCTGATTCTTGCCTCCTTAAGATTAGGTCACAGTGATTTCCTTATTTTGTGTCTTCTCAATATTTCCCCTTTTAATAAAGATTTTTTTTTTAATATCTGGTAATGTAAAGTTAGGAAAGACATTCTGGTTTTATCTCTTGCAAGAAACTTGACACAAAAGGAAATGGCAAAGTTGAAGCATAGAAGCAAAAAGTGAGGGCTGTGAGAGCAGGGCGCTTGCCGGGGGATGTCCTCAAATTGCCAGAAGCAGCAGCTGAGGCCCAAAGGAGGGGAAGGCCATGCTAGATCTCACTGCTGGCCAGTAGGGGAATAGGAACGTGGTCTGGTGGTCTTTTCCCAGTCAGTACTACATTCCTGTCTACATGCATAGGTAGTTTCTCTGGCCAGTTTCTGCTTACATGTATGTTTCCAAGGAATGGCAGAGAAGCCCATCAGCTCTGGGAAATAAATTCAAGGACTGATTTCAAAAGTTACATGGTACTATCAAGTACATGATTCTAAATGAACCTGCAGAAGATTAATTGGTAATTTTCATCTAGACTTACTGATTCCCTATATGTGGGTTAAAATTGTCATATTTGAAAAAATGTGCCCATCTCAACAGTTCATGTTGGGAGGGACAGCCTATTTTAATGTTTTCAAACTAGGTATTGCCAAAATCTTCATTGTGTTTGGAACCAGGAACAGATTTAAGCAAGTTGATCCTAATATTTGTTGCTAGCAGACAGTTTTACTAAAACAAATGTAATTCAGTTGCAGCAAACACAAAAATAATGACCCAAACCTTCAATTGAACAGGTTACATTTATTTCAGTTATTTAAATGGGCCACTGCCTGGGACTTAGACATTCTGGTGTATTTATAGGAATAATAAGGATATATGGCATTTAATAATATCACAACCAAAGACTCTTCAGGTGACAAATTTTAATCCAAAAATCAGTTTGAGGCACAGCAGAAAGGAAAGGAGGAGAACAGAGACTATTTCATTTAGCCCTACCAACCTGGCCTGAGACAGGGTTCCATATCTGCTTTTATAGATGAGGAAAGTGAGGCCAAGAAAGCTGACTTCCTCGGTCAGTTTCCAGTTGCTGGGAATGGGCTATCCAGGAGTCATTCTACCTTCAAAACCTTACTTCTTTTCTGTTACAACTCACAGCTCAGAAGCCACTAAGACATAATCAGGAGATAAGACAAGGACCCATCACAACTGGGCTACAGAATACAATAAGCATAATTAAAGAAGCAGAAGCAAGTGCCTGGGGGGTCTCCAAAAGGCAAACACTAGAAGTGGAGGCTTGAAGGATACAGGAAGCCCTCTGAGATGCAGAGACATCCCAAGAAGTCCTTGTGTTACAACAGCTACTGAACAGAGGAGGAGCAAGAAGAAAGGCCTAAACGAGGTGCAGAGGAATGAGAGGTAAGCAGTTGACATTTGGAACTAATAAAGCAAAGCTGCAAGATGAAGTTGGCCATCCCACAAGGCTGTGCGGCTTCAGGCTGCAAGGCCCACACTGCAGATCCAGGCCACTAACCTGGCCACAATGCCAGGTACCCGTGTCCAGCCTGGTAGGAACGGCAGGGTCCTCTGGACCCCAGAAGCCCAGACGCCCACACTTTCTTCTTCACCCCTGTTTCCCTCTTCTTTCCCCCAGAGCCCTTCTGCCTGCCTTCACCTTCCAAAGCAGAACCAGACAACTCCCTTCACTCTCCCTTGTATGTGAAGAGCTTTGTTTCCCTTTCAAGGATCTCCACCAGCAGCAAGGCAGGTGGAATAAATCGCGGCAGGAGGCAGCAGGACCCCCAAATCTAGAGTTTAGAAAACACTTTTCAGGAACTGAAAGCCCAGGGAGGGAAGGAGTGGAGGCCTGATTCGCCGCAGGTTCTGGTCTGCCCTGCCAGCGCCAGCAGCTGTGGGTGATTTCTGTCCGCTGGGCTCAGTGCCCTGTATCCTCAGGCCCCTCTGCATCTGCTAGGAGGTGGGGGCTCCCGTTTGCTTTCCAGTATACTTAATTTCTTTTCATCTTCGCATCCAATTTAATGGGCGAAGATTTAGTCCCACTTTACAACTGAAGCAATTGAGGCTCAGAAAGCTGATAGATACTTGTCCTGGGAACGTAGTAAAGCTGGCAGTTTAACTCATTAGGCCACGGGGAGGGGGGCTGTTTGAATTATCAAAGCCTCCCGGCGACACCCTTCTTCTGAGACCGACAGGTCCCCCGTCGGAATCAGCTCCCTGAAGAGGGCGGCCGGCCGCGTCCCCCGCCCCCTCCCCGTGGGACCCCATGGGCGCCCCAGGGTAGGTGGGGAGGCAGGATCATCCCTTCAGAGGAGAGCTAGGGAAATGCAGAGCGCTCGCCCTTCCTCGGAGAGGCGAACACCGACACATCCGTGTCTTTCACCAACAAGTGCCTTCAAGCCCGGCGGGGGCAGACACCTCCGCGCCAGAGGCGTCTCCGCGGCCCGCGGGGGCCATGGCCTCGCAGCAGCTGCACTGATTTAGCGCGCCCGCGGGCCGCCCGAGCCGGAGGCGCCTTCCCGGGCTGCACAGCAGCGCCCGCGGCCTCCGGGCGACTCCGCGGACGGGGACGGGCGCGGGGGAGGGGCGCGGCGGGCGTGCTGGCACACGCGGTCAGCGGCCCGGCGCCCGGGGAGCCGCCCACTTCGCCGGGTCGGGCCCGACGGCCGGAGCTTGGATGAGGCGGCGCCCGCCGAGCCGGGGCGGACGCGGGGCGGCCCGGGCCGGGGAGACGCGCCGGGAGCCCCGGCACCGCGGTGGCCGCAGGATGGCAGAGGTAAGCGAGGCGCCCTCCGCGGGATCCTGGGGGCCACCTGCGCGGCGGACGGGCCGCGGGGGCGCTGTGACGGTCGCCGCCCGACGTCCTGGAGCCGGCAGAGTGCCGGCGCGTCCCGGGCGCGTGGAAAGTGCGGTCAGGGCGGGACCCGGGACGCGGCCACTGCCCTCGGTACCCCATCCCGTCTCGCCGGCACCCCGCGTTTCAGCCTGCGGCATGGGGCCCCCTTCCCTTTTCCTTTTACCTCAGAATTAGTGGTATTTCAGAGTGGCCGTCCGCCCGGGTTCTGCTTCTGTGGAGAACAGCGTGTGGTGCCGGGCCGCTCGGCGGGGAGAAGAGCGGAGGCGGGCGCGGGCCGCCGCGGGCGCGACTCCCCCGCGGGACACACTTTTGTGAAACAGCCGCGGCGACAGAACCCCGACGCCGGGGCCTGTCGGAAGCTGCCCCGACAGGAAAGCGGCCGCGAAGGTGTCGGGCGGATTTGATTGGTGTCACGAGGGACCCTGCGGTCCTCGGAGCAGTCGAGGGCGAGGCGGCCCCCACCCTTCAGAGCGTGGGCCTGGGTGCGGGCGCGCGTGTGCGGGGCGGGACGGGACCGAGGCGGCTGCCCCAGTGGTTCCAGCTCCCCGGGGGCGACTCGCCTGGATGGGGAGCGTCCCTAGGGTCCCCGCTGCCGCCCGCCTGGCTTTGCAAGAGCTCTAAGGATTCGTCAGCCGGACGCGACGCGCTGCGGGCGGCCAGGCCGTGGCGGTCTGAGGTTACTCAGCGCGTAGCTGCGAGCCAGACTTTCCCGTGCGGCGAGACACGGCTCCTCTTCGCTGAGAGCCGCCCGCCCGGGCCGAGTTACCGGCCCGCAGCCGCCGAGGGCCGCCTGTGCGCGGGGGAGGCCGGACGCCCGCGCGGGGTCGGTGAGGTCCCGGAGCTTCAAGGCCGAGCCCCCGCAGCGTTTAGACGCCGCCAGACGCCTGGAGGCAGCCAGGCCTCTGCTGTTAGCCCCTGGGGGCCTGCAGGAGGCCCGCTGGTGTCCCGGGAGTCCGCTGGTGTCCCGGGAGTCCGCTGGTGTCCCGGGAGGCCCGCTGGTGTCCCGGGAGTCCGCTGGTGTCCCGGGAGTCCGCTGGTGTCCCGGGAGGCCCGCTGGTGTCCCGGGAGTCCGCTGGTGTCCCGGGAGTCCGCTGGTGTCCCGGGAGTCCGGGTCAAGGGCTGCGGGTGTGAGTGCGAGGAAACACGTGCTGCTGCCGTCCACGCTGCACATGCCGCGACAGTTTTTTAAAATGTATTCTTCTCATTAAAGCGGCATTTGGTAGACCCTTTTTTCCCCCACTGGTGTCCTTTTCATTCCGTGTTTATTGTTTTAATTTGCTATTAGATTTTTCTGGGATCCTTTCATCCGATTTCTTAGACTGAGTTTGCCAATGTATGTTTACGTGTTCAAACATTTGTTCAATGATGGCTACGCTGTCTTCTCAGTTAGTCCTGTCCGGATTCATCGATACACGTTATTAAAACCTCATTAAATTGTATGTGTCAAAATACAATGTTTGTACATCAGATGGAAGAACATTACTTCCGATGTTAGGAAGTGTGCTGGATTTTATTTTTGTTTTAAGTAGGTGTGAAAAGATGATTACCTCTTTTGCTATGATGATTTTGATAAATAACTATTCTTATTGGAATGTTTTAAGGTAGTTAAAAAGAATAAGATATGAGTCATTTGATTTCTCATCTAATAAGTCTGCTAACTTTAATTTCACTAAGAAACTATTACTATTTCGGGTCAACTGCTGGTCGAACAAGTTGCTGTTACAGTTAAATACTGAGAAGTGATGGTACAGTCTTCACTTAGCAGGCACATGCTGCTCATACTTTGGGAACTCAGAATTATGTTCAGACATTTGCATAATTTAATTTGGAATATCAGGTAGACCTATAGAGTCTCTAGTAAGGATTTAGGAAGATTCTCCACCTTCAGCTGGAAAGAACGTGGCAATTTTGAAGTTGTTCTTTGGCAGTTGATAACCACCAGAATGTGAAACAATAATTTGTTTGTTTTGGTTATTATTCACAATAGAAATATTGACCAATGTGGAGCAATTGCCTTGGAAGCAGGTTTACATAAAGGGTTATTTTATTTTTGTTTCATGTCCCCCTTTAGTAGTTATGCTTGCGTCCCGGGCCCATTCCCACTTTCTGTATTTCAGGATCTTGAGCTTGGAAAGACATCCAGCCCAATGGAAGAGAAGCCCTACAGGTTTCCCTGTGGAACAAATAATAATTGTTCTCTAAACACACATTTGTCATTTACAAATGCCTAGGGGTAGCTATAAATGGGAAACATTTTAAAATTTCAGTTTATCAGTAAAATTAACTGAAGCCTATGGGATGGCTGGGGGGGGGCAGAAATGGCTTTTGGCTTTAGTATATGGCTTTAGAAGTTATTTTGACTTGGCCATTAAAAGAGATGCCCTGAAGGTTCCACAAGGTAAATTACTTACCAGAGGAGTTTGCTTCACCCCAGGGTGAATTTTCTCCTCCACAGATGTCATTTAGAGTGAGTTACTTTTGTCAGAAATTGCACTTTTTGAAAAGAGCTCAAAATACTCTACCTGAGGTGAAATATTTATGCCAAGCCACTGGTCTTTTTGGTATCTAAGATCAAGATTTAGGGATTCAATACTTAGTTTTTAATTGCCTTATTCCAGGTATTCTGCTATAGAACTTTTGTTTCTTTATTTTCGATGACTTATCTGAGATGTTAAAAATCTAGATTCTGCTCAAGAGCATCTTGTAAAGGTTCCTTTTTCCTTTTAAATTGGTTTGGACCTGAAATCTTACTTATGCTTGTCATTCTTTGAAGTCCTTTTCTTAATTCTGGAAATTCCAAGATTCCAGTGTGGCACCATTTCTCTGCACAGACACATGTCTATTTTAGCCAAAGAGGGTAGGTATAAACAGAACAGACCTGTTCCTCTGGGGTCCAATGTGGGGCCTTCTCAAACTTCACATAGTTACAGGCAAACAGACTGTCGCTCTTCCCATCCACACGTGGACTCCTTATTATAAAACAGTCTAACAAATCACAGGAGGACTCTGCCTTGAGGAGATAAGTTCATCCAACTAATGTAAAGCAAAAGAAAGATGGAGAAATAAAATATTATGAAGGCCAGGCCCAAACAGCCTGTACCAAAGGAAAGGGTCGCCTCAGGTATGTGTATAAACTCTTAATTCGGGCTTCTGACCTTTTTTCATTAAGTTAGTTTGATCATCTCCTCTTATAGATTATTCTTGTGATTTTACCATGTTAAAAGTCTGACCTTTTCTTTTTAAAAAACTTAGTTTTAAAAATCCAGTTCGTATTAAGTCATTTTTATTTTTCAATGGCAGCAAAAACAAAGTTGTATTGCTTATGTAACTGTCCACCTTGAATTAAATTATCTTTCAAAGTGTAATGTCTTCTTTTGTTTTGTATTTTGATTTTTCCCAAGGCTGATTCAACTATGTTCAGAAGTTCCCTGTACAAGTTAACACCTTTCAGGTTTTTGTTATGAAAGGTTTTTAAAGATTACCTCTGAGGTTTCCCAAATTTAGGTTACAAAGGAAAAATACATCCATACATTTCTGTATACTTTTTTTCTTAAACAGTTTGGCTTGGTTTTTTAGGTAATAATTGCATGTTTTTCTACTATCTTTTATATTTTCAGTTTTCAGAACTAATAATTTTTTTAAAGGCACAGATGTTAAGTTATTTTGGCACAGCATTTATACTTTGATATATAGACATCAAAAGAACGAGTACTTTTCCTCATCATTGTCTTTGAACTAAGCAGCAAGAGAACACTACAAATGTGTCCTGCATACTTTTTACTCCCAGCTAGATGCAGCCCAACATCTGAAGAGGCTCTGCCCCCCACCTGCCCTTTCTCTGCCAGACTATTCTCCCGGTCCTTGGTCTTCTTTGGCCTCTCCATTTATCCTCATACTTGCAATAAGAAACCAGATTTCTGTCAATTCTTCTTTAGTGTCATTTTTATATTGCAAATGCTGACTACCTGATTTTGAGGCTCCCCAAGTCCCCTCTTTCAACTATGCTTGTGGTAAACAGTGTCTATTGTTTGGAACCCTAACAATTACCTGAACCAAATAAAGAGACTCCTGGTGCTCATCTGGACAGCTGACCTAGCCCTATGTTGCCTTTCAAGGTTACCTCTCACTGCCTGTAGCAGAAACCCATGATCTGTGGCCAGACTCCTAGGCCTGACAGTCGTGTACTAGTGAGTCCCTCTTTGTGGCTAGGCCTATGGTTTTCCCTACAGGCACTGATGAAAGCATGCCTGCTTCCTCCTGGAAGAAGCCTTGTCTGGCCTCTCTGTACAACCCTGATTTCTCCCTCTATATTACCATTTCACTCAAACTATTAAATTTGGGGGTTGGGGGCAATGGGAGTCTTATTTTATATTTTCACTTCTTATTATAGAAAATTTGAAACAATCAGATTGAAATACTTTAATGAAGTTTAGTGATATGTGCTTGGGGGTTCAATGGTTGTCAACTTTGGGCCAATCTCATTTATATTTCCTAGCTATCCTCCCATTATTATCACCACTGAATTACAGTAAAGCAAATGCTTGGCATAACATAATTTAATTCATATATATATTTTAATATGCGGCTATAAAACATAAAGACTTTTTTGAAAAAAACAAAAGCAATATGCCATAGAGTACCTAAAAAAAGACAATAATCTGTCATGTCATTACATTTCCAGTCAATGTTCAAATTTCTTTGGCACATTAGCTTTATATTATAGTTGGTTTGTTCAAATCAGAATCCAAGATTCATACTTTACTTTTTTCCTTACAATTTATCTGTTGAAAAAGCTGGGTCATTTGTCCTATAGCGTGCTTCCCCATCTGGATTTTAATGATTGTTTCCGTGTGGTGTAATTTAAATATTCCTCTATCTCCTGAATTTTCTTAAATCGAAGTTGATCAAGAGGCTTGATC